AGGCTGTAATATAAACACTGCATTTTCTCTGAAAAGACCGTGTTTACCTCAAAAAGCCTGAAGGGAATTATTATGCTCACCAGAACAAATACAATAAGCTGTAGTTGTTCTGGTGACTATATTATCCCTTTAAACATGTTAAGCCCATAGAATGTGTGCTATGGACAAATTCAGTTTTAGACCTGTACCTATTAGTGTCATTAAGAAACACCTTAATAATCTTAAAATGAAAAACCAGTCTGGATCTGATCAAATCCCAGCAATGCTGTTGAAGCTCAGTGTGCCGGCAATTGCTAAACCTGTCACAACCCTAATTAACGAATCCTTGGTGTCTGGGTACATACCCAAACTTTGGAAGACTGCGAGAGTAGTGCCTATCCATAAAAGTGGTGACACTACTTTGGTTTCTAACTATCGCCCAATATCATTGCTCCCAGAATTGTCAAAAATCTTAGAAAAATGCATCCATATGCAACTATGTGAGTATTACCAACAATCAAACTGACACCTTATCAATCAGGCTTTCGCCCGAATCACTCAACTACAACTGCCCTCTTAAAAGTTTGCAATGACATCCAAACTGGCATGGAACAAGGAGACCTAACTGGAGCTATTTTCCTTTGTTTTGCAAAGGCCTTTGATACAGTAGACCACAACATTCTACTGCACAAACTAAAAAACTCAGGAATTGGTGATCGTCCGCTAACCTGGTTTCGATTGTATGTATCGGATCGCAAGCAAAATGTGTCCATTTCTGACAGCGACTATCTCCCTGTCACGTGTTGTGTTCCCCAAGGTTCCATTCTCGGCCTCCTACTAGTCACATTATTTATAAATGATCTGCCTAATGTCTGCAAATCCTCAAATGTACACATGTACGCAGACGACACAGTAATCTATGCAAGCAAATCCGATCTACCAAGACCAGTTCACAGAGGTAAAAAAGTGGATCGCAAAAAACAAACTCTTCCTATAAATATTACCTATAAAGGGAGGATGGGGTGCATAAGCAATCCTGCTACCATAACCACTACAGTGCGCTGTAGTGGTCATGATGTTTCTAGTGATCCTTGAAAGTGGAGGACTTATGAAAAATAATAGTGTGTGAGAGCACACAAAGCAATGAATACATGGAATATAACCAAACTGGGATATGAGTTACCATAGACTGGGATATGTGTTTAACCTGAAATACAAATTAAAAGGCAGACCATTGTTTAGTAAATTACATAATTTTAAAACACATGTACATTTAGTCAGGGGCGTACCTAGAGCATGTGGCACCCGGGGCGGGTCCTGGGTTTGGCAACCCCCCCTCTCCAAAAAAAAACCAAAAACCCCAAAACACCTACTGCATTGTTAAAATGTGTTATTTTTTTACATTTTTTTAAAAAATGTATTGAACAAATTTGTAAACTTTTTCAAATCCCTGACCCCTTCTACAAAATCCCTGCACTCCCACACACACAGTTACAGGCAGACAGTCACACACAGGTACAAGTCGACAGTCACACGCACACAGTCACATGCAGACAGTCACACATATAGTCACAGGCAGTCATACACACAGTTACAGGTAGAGAGTTACACACACACACAGTCAGTAAGTTACACACAGTCACGCACACTATTACAGGCAGACAGTCACATATACAGTCACAGTCATAAACATAGTTACAGCCACACACACAGTTACAGGTAGACAGTTACGCACACACACACACACACACACAGTTACAGGCAGACCGTTACACACATACGTACACACAGTTACAGGCAGACAGTTACACACACACACATATTTACAGGCAGATAGTTATACACACACAGTCAGTTACAAGCAGTTACACACAGTCACGCACACTGTTACAGGCAGACAGTCACATATACAGTCACAGGCAGACAGTCATACACATAGTTACAGCCACACACACAGGTACGCACACACACACAGTTACAGGCAGACTGTTACATACACACACACACAGTTATAGGTAGACAGTTATGCACACACACAGTTACAGGCAGACAGTTACACACACGTACACACACACAAGACAGACAGTCACACAGTTACAGACAGACAGTTACAGACAGTCACACACACACACAGTTACAGACACACAGACACACACACACACAGTGACAGGGTCAGGCAGACAGTCACACACACACACACACACACACACACAGATACACACTCTTACTTACAGACAGTGTGGGTTGGAGGAGTGGATTCCCTGGCCTGAAGTCCTTCCCTGGCTGGAGCCTGTTAGGTGGAGGAGCAGGGATTTCTTCTTCCTGCACCTCCATGTGCAGCATTAACAGCAGCTTGTAAGGGCTGTGTTAAGCCTCGCCCCGATTAGGCTCCACCCCGAAATGGCCGTAGCTCCACCCCCTTCTTCCTCCCGTGCGGCCAGTTAAGCTTGCTGGTCTTGTGTGAGCTGTGCGACCCCAGCTGCCATGGGGCACAGCTCACACAGCCCCCTCCAGCAGTAAGACCAGGTCAAGGCAACCCCCTACAAGGTGGCACCCGGGGCGGACCGCCCCATCCCTTAGTCCGCCACTGCATTTAGTTCATCTCATTCATGTGGTGCTGAAATGAAGGGAAAATCGAGGATGAATGGGAAGAAGTGTGCCAACTCCTACATAAATACGAGTCTGGTCCATACGGCCTATATGAATATCCAGTCCGTGAACAATCTATCACTACTAAATAATTTCCATTTGGAGCCTTTAAAGCTTCAGATTTCTATACATGGCTTAGCCACATTTGAGTGAGAAGAACTAAATGTACATGTATTTGAAACATTTGTTACTTACTACACTATGGTCTGCATTTTTATATGTATATCAGGCTAAACTCATAAACCCCAGTCAGTGGTAATATTACATTTATTCGTCTGCTCTCACCCACTATTATTTTTTTTTAGAATGTAATTTTATTTGTGTAGTGACTTAACCCATGGTAATAGTAGCAACTAATTTAAGTGGTAGTAACAATAGCCTTCTCACTGTTTTATATTGTATTAAAAGTGAAGGGATGGTGTGAGAGTGTCGGTCCCTCCCCCCCACCCTTGCACCCTTCCAGGCTAATGGTAAGATGTGGGGGTGTGATATAATGTCTGGGTTTTTTGGGGGGGGGTTTTAGCCCCCCAACACACAATCCCTCCTAACATATACACACACACACACACACACACACAACACACATCACCCCTCACACTCACAGCATCCATCACACACACACACACACTGCACCCCTCACATACACACTACAACCACTCACTGCACCCCTCACACATACACACAGAGCCCCCAACACACTGCACCACACACACAAACACAAATACTTCCAAACATATTTATAATATATATACATACATATACACACACACACACACACATACTGCACCCCTAAACATACTACATTCCAGACACAAGATCCCTTACCCAACTCTGGAACATCTACACACATATACACACACTACATACATCCCTACTTACACTCTGAATCCGCTATATCACTAGATCTCCTATACACATTCTGGATCCTTCAAACACACACCAGACTCCTATACACACACACATACACACACACACACTGCATTCCTAACATACACACTCTGGTTCCCCTATACACACACTAGATTCCTTGTAAGCAAACACCTACTACACCCAAGCCACCATCTTGACTGTAACAATATTAAGCATTGTACAGCATTATGGCATGTTCCAGGTATTTTAGAGGTTCCTGACTGATATGCCACCTACTGCCAGCAAGAAATTAGGAAAATCCTATTCTAAGGAATAAACATTGTGAGCTAGTAAAAAAGGCTTCAAAACATATAACTCCCAAGTGTCCCTATTTAGCTGTGGCAGACCCTATTTTAACCCCAAATCTCTCTGTCCCTCTCTCTATCCTAATGTCCTTTTTCTAGCAGTTCCATATTGTTCATGTGTCCACAGTTATTATACTCACAGTAAAAGCGTTCTTAAACTACAACAAAGGAGCTACAAATCAGTCCGTGTAAATACAATACATTGTTCTTGCTTTAATTGCTATTGGAAGGTGATCTAAAATTTCTTAAAAACAGCCCTGTCATTGACCACACTTCTAACATTAAAAAGTGTTCCTCTTTGTCCATCTGAAATGTTATATTGAGATATTAAAAAATAAATATGATGGGGGGGCGTGGCTAACCGCCGAGCAAGATGGACGTCTGAGACTTTGCTCCGGCACAAGAGCTCCATTAAACTTACCTCTTCTTCGAGCTGAAACCCTGTAAACCACCAAGCTTCTCATGGCAACCTCCAAAACAAAGAAGGCTACCTCCAAAGCCGAAAAAATGAATTTTTCCGGCCACAACCCCTCCTCCATGGCGGACCCACAACGAGCAGCCGGACACGAGGGCGCAGACGACACCGCTCCCAGCCCCTCCCCAGCGCCATCGGATGATCCCCTGCCAGCGGACTGCCTGACACAAAGCCATTTCGAACACGCCATGGAGACAATGGCGGAAAAATTAATCACTACTTGGCACACAACTGCCGACCAAATCAAAAGGGAGGTGAGAGACCTCTCGACGAGAACAACCGCTATAGAACAGCGACATCAGGAGCTGGAGGCCACACAAATCACCACCTCAGAGCATCTACGGGCGATCCAACACAAGATGGAAGCCATGGAAGAGCGCTTGGCGGACCACGAAGATCGGGCGTGCAGGAACAACCTAAGACTCCGTGGAGTCCCAGAGACAGTTCTGCCAGAGGACCTACAAGCTTATGCGAGAGGCCTAATGAGGGCATATGCTCCTGATATACCCGCAGACATGCTCCTAGTGGACAGGATACATAGGGTGACAAAACCCAAAAATCTGCCAGACTCTACACCACGCAATGTTTTGCTCAGGGCCCACTATTTTCATATCAAGGAGCTGGTCCTGCGCTCCCACCGCAACAGGGAGAACCCCCATGATGACTTTCCATCGGTGCGCATCATGGCGGACATCTCGCCGGCCGCTCTCCACCGCAGAAGGGACTACACCCAGACCACCACAGCGCTCCGCAACCACGGAATCCGCTACCAGTGGGGGTTCCCCACGAAATTGATCCTCACCAAAAATGGGAAGACGTCCATCATATCGTCCCCAGAAGAAGGATCACAGCTCAATGAGAAATGAGGCCTACTGAAGGAGCCGCCAGGAGAACCGCGGCACGACAAACGCCGCCCAGGCCGCACCACTAACATGGACTGACCCATTACCTTACAAGTGCATAGCACACCTGAAGCAAGTATCATTTAATGCTTACCTAAATTTAGCTTTCTCTGCCTACTTAAACGTTGCCGTTGGTAGATATCAAACACCCTAAGCTGCCTTTAAGGACCACCCACCTTACCCGTACTCCATACTTCATTGCCCATGATGACCTGTAACATGAGGGAGTGTATACCTCGGGGGAGATCCCCAAATAGGTGGGCAGTTGGGGGATGCGGGATCAGAGGGCGTTTACCCACACCTCTACCTGCTCCCATTAACCAGGCATTACCGGCCTATGCACAGAGCAACTGAAGAAGCGCGGATGTAAACTCCTTGGAGAATGCTCCACCTGTAGGCCTTAAATCCCATATCTAAAAGGCCATACCTTCTCTTCCGAGATTTTATGTATAATATGCCCGTGCTCATGGTAACGCTCCTTTCCCTACCCTGAGCCATCCCGCTAGATGTGCCGCTCTCTTTTGTAAATGTAAATGTACTGTGACGTTATGCTTTAATAATGTGAGACCGAACCTTCAGATGTTTCCATGTGGTATCTGCTGTTTACATGTCTGAATCAAGGTTGTGCTACCCACCCACCCCCGGCCAACACCAAGGGGCACGCAAACCCAACACCCTCAGGTAGTACAGCTGACACACATGGCTCAGAGCGACACAACAAACACGAATACATGGCATTGGCTACATATCGATTTTCACGCTTCACGGTACCACAAGCTCATACGCCACACACCGCAACGCCTATATGTACACCCTAAGCTATGACATCAAATGCAACATCACATACAGGCACGCAGCCTCCCACCACCCCCCCCCAAGGTGGATGCTTAGAACCTCCTTGACATTCCGGGCCAACACCTAATTGGACCCAAGAGCTCCTAGTGCACACCCCGCACCTCCCCCCCGCCCCTCCAACCTGCAGGCAATGACTGCCCACTGACATACCCACTCGGGACAGCGATACTGGACCACATAATCGCCGCCTCACCTGGGAGGCGCACAAGACGCATACCCCCGAGTGGGCAACCCATTCTTGGGTATGCTCACGCAACCCGTGGGAAGGTCCTCTATCCCTTCATACACAGTGTCTTAAGGTATCTCGACCCCACAGCGCCAGGTCAAGCAATGATCCTTGTCTGTCTTCTGTAATCAAAGTTAAATGTTATACGTTAATGTTTCCGCTCTATCGTTTGCCAACCTTACCTACGCAATTTCAGCTCTACTTCAATAATAACATAGGAGCCCGCTTAGCCACGTATCCGGAAGCTCCTGCTCCTCTCCCCCAGGTACAACTAGCGTACCAGACCACTAGGTCCTGTACATATTATCCCTAACTATACACACCTTCCCATCCTCCCAATACCTTGCCTCCCCTTGCCAACACCTACCAACACAGCGATCCATAAACAACCAGCCTGGGCTGTGCAGACTCCCGACAGCTTCTCTACACCCCATAACACACAGTAACGAATATGCTAATCTACTCGCACAACACCAAGGGCCTTAACACGCCACATAAACGACGTGTGCTCCTCAACGACATTAAACGAACCAAAGCGGACATAGTCTGCTTACAAGAAACGCACTTCGTTTCCACTAAAATCCCAACCTTCGCCCTCAGGGAATATCCCACACAATTTCATGCCACCCACACCTCCAAATCCAGAGGAGTATCCATACTGCTACACAACTCTCTAACTGTAGAAACCCTCCGGGTTAAAAAAGACAACCAAGGACGGTACATAATCCTACACTGTAGAATCAATGAGCACCCATATGTCCTAGTATGCCTCTACAGCCCAAACGACCAACAACGTAACTTCTTACATAAAATTCTCACCAAGCTACCCGAAGGTGTGAACGACCCCAAGATCATATGTGGCGATTATAACCATACCATGGACACACATATGGACTCCACCATCCCACACATGTCGACAAGGCACCACACTCTCAAGTCCCACACTAAGGCATTCACAAAACTTATCCACGAAAACAGCCTATATGATGTATGGAGAACAAAACACCCCTCAGAAAGAGAATACACGTTCTTCTCACAGGTACATAAAACATACTCCAGAATAGATCATATCCTCGCCTCAGGCATGCTACTTCCACACATAGAAAACTGCTCCATCGGCAATATAGTGTGGTCCGGCCATGCTCCAATAACAATGACTTTACACTCCACCTACCAACACCGAGGTAAGCCACCATGGCGCCTCAATGACTCACTGCTACATGATCAAAAATTCACAGCGCTGCTGACAACAAACCTAAAAGAATTTTTCATGACGAATGATAACTCAGACGCCTCCATATTCTCGATATGGCAGGCCCATAAAACGGTGATGAGAGGCATACTGATCAGCCGCGCATCCCATCTGAAGCGTATGCGAGAAAAACACCACACAGACCTCCTACGAAGATTGAGGGATGCCACTGCAGCCCACCTCCTGAACCCCTCCATTGCCCATGCTGAGGAAATACGGGATATCACCAATCAACTTAATGCACTCTCTTTGGAAAAAACAGCACACATCCTTACCAAACTGAAACTGAGAACATATACCCAAGGTAACAGAGCTGGGAAACACCTGGCCACTCTGCTTAAAAAGCAACAGGCAAACTCTAAAATCCCGCACCTGATTACCGCCCTAGGCGAAAAACTATATAATCCGCAAGACATCAATGACTGTATGGCCGACTATTACCACTCTCTATATAACCTCCGCACAGACCCTACACTACACCAACCAACCACGACAGAAATTGAGGAATTCCTTGCGAAGACGCAGCTTCCCACTCTCACCAACACACAAAAGAACGCCATACAGCTTAAGGTCACTACACAGGAAATAATAGACACCATCAGCTCCCTACCCCCTGGGAAATCACCAGGCCCAGACGGCATGACCAACGCTTACTACAGGCAATTTGCGCCACTCTTAGCCCCATACCTACAACGGGTATATCACCATACCATATTGACAGGACAACTGCCAAACGAGATGTTAATGGCCCATGTAGCCACCCTCCCTAAACCAGGGAAACCCCCTAATAGATGCCAGAATCTCCGCCCCATCTCCCTGTTAAACACAGATATAAAAATCATAGCAAAAATCTTCTCCAATAGATTAGCACACATCCAGTGGCGTACACATGACCCATGGGGCCCTGGTGCGAAAATTGATCCGTGGGCCCCCCCCGCGCTTACTCGGCGCGGGTCGGGGCCGCAACACATGGCTGCGGGCACCTGGTCGCAGGGGTGGCAGGGCTGCGACCCCGTGACCGCGGCAGGCACACACACTTAAAGGACCACTACAGACACCCAGATCACATCAGCTCAATGAAGTGGTCTGGGTGCCAGGTCCCTCTAGTTTTAACCCTGCAGCTGAAAACATAGCCGTTTCAGAGAAACGGCTATGTTTCACTGAGGGTTAATCCAGCCTCTAGTGGCTGTCTCATTGACAGGGGCTAGAGGAGCTTCCGCGATTCTCACTGTGAAAATCACAGTGAGAAGACACTGAACGCCCATAGGAAAGCATTTAAAAAAAATTTTAATCCCCCCAGCCTCCTTACCTTTTAGAGTGCTGGGGGGATTCCCTGGGGTCCAGTGGTGCCGCTGACCCCGGCGGGCTGGCTATCTAGGTGGCCGGTGCGCGAGGGAGCACTCCGTGCTTCCTCTTCAGCTCCCTCGCGCGCCGCATGGGGATGCCAGCGCCGGAAGATGACGTCATCTTCCGGCTCCGGCATCAGTGCGGTGCG